AGAATATTCTAGCGTTTAATACTTCTGTTAGAACTTCGATATCCAATGAAATTCAGTGTCTTATGAATTTGGGAGGAGGCTCCTCCCCCAAAACAAGATCCAGCAGGCATATCGGTTGAGCCGGCTCAAGCTTAAGCAGAGTCGTCTCCTAGCCAGTGCGAGATGTAGTCGCAAAATAGTGCTGTCCGCCAGATTGGCATTTATTTCGTTTATTTTGAGTTAAATTATTATAGGTTTTATTATGGAGGTTGCTGTCTATCCTGGAGCAGGTGATTTCTCATAAATCGACCGGTGGGCAGAGCCGAATTGTTATTAAATTTGAGTGAAATTGTAAAATTGTAGCCTTTGTCTTGGCTATTCTTGAGAAAGCGTCCAAGATGGCGTCTTTTCTAATTTTTCATTATATTTTCTTGAGTTGAGGCAGTTGTGATCAACTCCTCTTATATTTTTTCGATTTTTGATGTTTACTTTTGGTAAATTTGAGAACAGAATTGAATTTCACTAATTCTGTTTAATTTTTGTGTGAAATTAAAATGTGATAATTTAAATTCATTGTATTTCGAGGTGACGTATCGACCCTCAACTGAATATCGACCCATATTATGGATATTTTGTCATAATTTTGAGAATAATGAGGAATTATACCGTGAGGACGTCAGTTTTCGGACGGTATTCAGATCTCGGACGCAGAGCACTCTTACGATTGAATTTCAAATTAATTGCATTTCCGTAGTACTCGACGGCCATTTTCTGTTATTCCCTCCAAAAGTAGAATAAATTCTCCGCCAATTGCAATATTTATTAATATTTCACTAAGTGTACAGAATTATTACACTTATATTTATTCGAGGGTTCACACAGTAGGGGGTCTGTGGAGTGTTATGTAGTGTGGTGAGGGTGAAATCCCTCTGTGCTTCTTAAGGATCTAACAACAGAATGTAAGTGAAAAATTGTTTATAATCCGTTTTTATGAGTCGAAGGTTAATTTTCGAATAAAAATAGATGTGGACAATTTAAAAAAATAAATAAATTATCGGAGAAATTGAGGGTCCGAGATCTGAATCCACCAAAGGCGGGGTGGGTTCAGTTCTCGGACGTGTTTATCCATGTGCTTAACCTCAATCGCACGCATGAAGAAATTTGACAGAAAAACTTAGCACTTTCTCTGAGAAATTCTATTGCATTTCTAGTGGAATTCTATGAGAATTCTCTTGGAGTTCCATTAGAATTCTATTAGAAAATTCTATTCGTTTTTTGGACCATTTATATAGAATTTTATCTAATTTTACTTTTTAATTTTATCTAATTTTTACAGATGCGACTTCGAAGGCGCAGAGCATCAGGAGGAAGGTGAGTAAAGCCTGCGACGCCACAATGACGAGAAAGCGGACCACGAATCGACATCCACCAGTGTATTGGTGGAATGAGACCATCGCTGTGCTACGGAAGGAGTGCAACGCAGCCAGGAGGTCATCTCAGCGTGGTAGGAAAAGTCCCAACTTCATGGAGTTGGAGATGAAGTACAAGAAGGCACGGCGAAAGCTCAGCAAAGCCATCAAGCATAGCAAGAGGCAATGCTGGAGCGAGCTCCGTAGCGAGGTGGAGACCGACCCATGGGGGAGGCCCTACAGGGTGGTGATGACACGACTCAAGAGTCAAACAAGGCCATCACCATCGTGTCCGATGCTCCTGAACAGAATTGTGGAGACGCTGTTCCCAAGTCGACCGGAATTTCGCCGCAACTCTGAACAATGGGAAGGAGAAATTGTCCCGGAGATCACCAGAGAAGAGCTGATGGAGGCCTGCAAAAGAGTGGGAAACTCCAAAGCTCCAGGGCTGGACGGAATCCCGAACATCGCGTTGAAGNCAAACATCGGGGGACCCAAGCAGAGGAGACGAGCACTACTGTCCTCAGTGATTACTTCCGTGCTTACATATGCCATCCCCATCTGGAGAACTGTCCTACAACTACAGGAAGCACGACGTAAGATCGCACCAGTCTATCGACTCAGTGCCCTNGAAGCTCCAGGGCTGGACGGAATCCCGAACATCGCGTTGAAGCTAGCCATTAACACGATGCCAGAGCAGTTCCTGGATGTTTACAATGAGTGCCTCAGAGAGGGCATCTTTCCTGCCATGTGGAAGCAGCAGAGGTTGGTGCTGCTCCCAAAAGGGAATAAACCACCGGACGAACCTTCATCTTACCGTCCCCTCTGCATGCTCGATACTGCTGGCAAGATTCTTGAGCGTATCATCCACCAGAGGATAGAAGCTGCCGTGGAACCCGCGCTTGCTGGGAATCAATATGGTTTTCGGAAAAGCNCAGATGCTTTCTGGGCACGTTGGCATTCTGGGATGCTTTAGAGCGTATCTTCATAAATTCAAGCATGAAGATTCCTCGAAATGTCCAACCTGCCCAGAAGTGGATGATGATGCGGAGCATGTGTNACTGCTGGCAAGATTCTTGAGCGTATCATCCACCAGAAGATAGAAGCTGCCGTGGAACCCGCGCTTGCTGGGAATCAATATGGTTTTCGGAAAAGCCGGTCCACACTTGATGCCATCAACCTTGTNTGAAGTCATAAAAGAGCTCAGGAAAGAGGAACGCGAGCGCAAGGCTGCAAGACAGGCGGAAAACCTACTGGAACCTCCTAACTACACCCAACATCTTTGTAGGCTAGGAGGACGTACATAAGGTTGGAATGAGGAAGAGCAAATATCTGAGACCTCCCTCGCGAAGCAATACTTAGCGGTGGTGCCGCGAGGGGATGAACAGGTCAACGATTACTAGGGTCATGTGCGGTTTTTTAGTCCGTATGGGTTGCATATTCGCCGAGCAGATACTTGCTCGTGGTCGCTACCATCTAGACCTGACCGACTCGGACACTACAGACACTTCAGACACCACCCGTCTGGAGTGTGTCAGTGCGTAAAGAGCATTTTTCCATTCATGAACCCAAAAAAAAGAAAAAAAAACACCCACACACACGGGTGTGCGGCTCGTGGCTTTTGCAGATGATGTGGCCGTAGTGATTGTCGGAAAATACCTGGAAGACATGAAGCTCACCTTCGGAAGGACTTTCGAGGTGATTCGCCGTTGGATGGACTCCGTCGGCCTGAGCCTGGCCGAGCATAAAACGGAGGCCGTGTTGATCACAAGCAGAAAGGTGTTGGAGACAATCACGCTGCAAGTCGGGGATTATGAGCTCACATCCCAGCCGTATATTCGGTACTTGGGAGTGATGATTGATGCCCGACTCAGTTTTAAGCAGCAAGTGGAACACATCACAACTAAGGCGTCAGGGGTTCGAGCAGCTTTGTCTCGCCTCATGCCCAACATTGGAGGTCCCAAGCAGAGGAGACGAGCATTACTGTCATCGGTGAATACGTCAGTACTCACCTACGGCATTGCTGTATGGGCGGAGGCCCTTCAATTACAGCAGAATCAGCGCAAAGTGGGGCCTGTCTACCGACTCAGTGCCCTTAGAGTCGCCAGCGCATTTCGCACCGTGTCCAACGATGCCGTGTGTGTTATAGCCGGAATGATGCCAATTGAAGTGCTAGCCGAGGAACGAAGATCCCTATTCCAGCAAAAAGGAGAGACGTCATTAAGTCCAACCGAGATTCAGGCTGAGGCCAGACGAAAGAGCATAGAACGATGGCAGTTACGATGGAGTACCTCACTGAAAGGTAGATGGACATATCGTCTTATCCCGCAGGTGAGTGCTTGGGTGAATCGTGAGTACGGAGAGACCAACTACTATTTGACACAGTTGCTTTCAGGACATGGGTGCTTCCGGGCTTACCTTCATAAATTCAAACATGAAGATTGCCCGGATTGCCCGACCTGCTTAGGTACCACGGAAGACGCAGAGCATGTATTTTTCATGTGTCCACGTTTCAGAACGAGCCGCTTGGAGTGGGAGAATGAACTTGGAGCATCGATCCTGCCCGAGAACTTGGTGGAAGCCATGCTGTCATCGAAAACAGCCTGGGACGCAACGAGTGACTTTGCGACGAAAGTCATAAAGGAGCTCCGCGAGGAAGAGCGCCGTCGAAAGAACGCTGTATAGGAGAAAAAGCTACCGGAACCTTCTTCCCACGCCCAACACCTAAGTGAGGAAGGAGGACGTACGGTTAGTGATGTTAGTAGAGGAAGAGCAACAGCTGATGTCCCCCCCCCCCGCGAAGTAATGCCTGACGGCCATTCCGTGGGGAATATGGGGTAAGAGGAATTGAGGAAAGAGGGCTTTACTCAGTAAAAATCTGAGATCCGTTTTTTTTTAACATTCTTTTAACGGAATCTTTTGAAGAGTACCTTAAACCTGAAAAAAAAACACATACACACATACATTTCTTCAGAAACGTTTCAGGATGACTCTACAGGTCACGAAACGTGGACAAATCATCGAAATTCAACATTTCATTTTCGGGGTCATGACAATAACTTCCTCCTTTCGGGTCGGGAAGTTAAAAATCGGCAGGACGGTTTTCCGAATAGTGTTCACTTGATGTCCTCTGTCCCCGTTGGGGTTGTTAAGGTTTTCGTACATCTCCAAGCCTTCTCGGTATTTCCTTTCGAAATATCCTTGAGACTTGGCCAACATTCTGGCTTGATCGTACTTGATCCTATGTCCAGTGTCTATCCAATGTTCAGTAAGTGCAGACTGTTGTAAGTGACCGTATTTCGAACACCGTTGATGTTCCTTGATCCGTATACTGATCTTCCTCCGGGTTTCACCAATGTGCACTTTTCCGCATGAGCAGGGGATCTCGTACACTTCTGGTGTACTCAGAGGCGGTCTGCGATCTTTCGCACTCGGCAGCATCTGTCCAATCTTTTTTGGGGGTTGAAAGATTGCTCGGATGTTGTGTTCGCCGAATACTCTGCTAATGCGTTCAGTGGGGCCTCTCAGGAAAGGGAGGAGCGCCACTTCATGTTTCTCCCGTTTTTCTTCAGGATTAATCTCCCCTTGAGGAGATGAGAGCTTGCTCTGTAGCTATCTTTTGACCTTTCGAATTTGTTGAATGTTATACCCATTCTTGGCCAGAGCTGTCTCTAGATGTTCAACTTCGCTGTTGACGTTGGAAGATTGGGAGATTGTAAGAGCTCTGTACATTAGGGAGCTAATGACAGAGTTCTTCTGGGAGGGGTGCTGACGGGAGGCAGCATTGAGGTACCTGTCTGTGTGGGTGGGCTTGCGATATACTTGATGACTCAGAGTACCATCCTCATTACAACGAACCGAGACATCCAGAAATGGGAGACATCCGTTCTGCTCAATTTTCATGGTGAACTTGATGCTCGGATGCTGAGCATTCAAGAATTCCAGGAATTGGTTGAGACCAGTCCTCCCATGTGACCAGATAACAAAGGTATCGTCCACATACCTGAACCACACAGCAGGTTTCTGCGCTGCTGACTTCAAAGCTTCGTTCTCGGAGTGTTCCATGAATATATTTGCAATGATCGGGGAGATGGGAGAACCCATTGCTGCTCCCGATTTTTGCTCATAGAACTCTCCTGCGAACTGGAAGTATGTGGAAGTCAAGCAGTGCTCAATCAAGGGGAGGAATTGGGGAGAGATGTCGTTGGACCCCTTGATTATTACCAACCAATTACGGGAAGACACATAGATTGAAAACAAAATTATTGAAATCGCTTCATTTTTTCAGTAGATATCGTTGGATAAAAGTTTGACCACATGCATGCATACATACACACACACACACTCACACATACAGCGTAGGGATGGGCCGCAACAACAGCTCAAGAGTCAAAACCTGCAATCAGCCTCCCCAATGTCAAGGTATTCACCGTGCCGAGTTCTGGAAAGCGCCAGGGGTAGTTGACGTCACGAACGGTGGTCCCTGGGGTACCAGGTCCTACCCCAGGTGTATTCAGTGGCCTTAAATCAGCAACCGGGGCTCTGTTTGGGGTGGACCGTTATAATTCCCTAGGTACTCATGGGAACATGATGGATAATTTACTAAACACACAAAATGAAGTCAAGAAGCAGGACAACGTGGTTCAAAAATCTGGACCAAGTGACGAGGTCACGTTGAAGAAAAGAATGTGGGATAGGCATGAATAGCCCATTGCCGACCTGATCACCTACATGAAGGGAAAGAGAAGCATCAACGCTCATGCTCGATAGATGGTGAACTCTATCAGAACTCTATCCCTACTCTTGGGGCGAACGCGGACACTTTCCGAAGGTACCGCGACTAAGATAGACTCTGAACTTGAAGATGAGAGCTCTGCTCTCTCTAATAAGTTCAAGACTTTCAGGACGAAACGAAAGTCGCGAGAGTCACCACCGACGGACACCCGGGACCCCAAGAAGAAAAAGGAAGAGCGGGAGGCCGCTCACGCCCAGAGCCAGAGGGAGAATCCACCTGCAAAGTCCTCGGAATGGGAACAGGTTAAGAGTAAAAGGGAGAGACAGAAAGCGAAGCTGCCAAAGAGGCTGCCCAAGAAGAACGAGAAGCAAGGAAATTCATCGGCGAGACCAAATGCACTGATTGTTCGCTCGAAGGACAAGCTGCAGTACCCAGAGATGCTCAAAGCAGTTAAACAGCAGATACCTTCCGAATAGGCTCGTGATTGCGTTGACAAGATCCGCAGAACGACCACTGGGGATATGCTGATCATCCTTGCAAAAGACAAGGAGGACAAAGGTACGGACTTATACAAAGCCATAGCCGAGCTTTTAGGAGATGATGCCAATGTTCTTAGTAAAGGACCACCGGAAGATCTCGAGATCAAGGATCTGAATGAGCTGACCAGGAAGGAGGAGGTGCTGGAAGTCCTGCAACTCGCAGTTGGGATGGATTGCCAAATCTCCCTGAATGCCGCCAGGTCCTTGCGCAAGGCCTATGGCGGTACCCAGACTGCGTCGGTGACGGTGGCTGCATTAGTCGCCAAGAAAGTTTTGGGCGAGCGAACTAAGATTCGCATAGGATGGGTCAATTGCCGGATCCGGAGGGTGGAGAGACTGGTTAAGTGTTTTACAGGGTGTTCCATAGCATATGATCAAAGTAAATGGCAAATAACTTGAATACAGTAAAATGTAAATAATTGTTCTTTTTTTATTGTACAAGGAACATTCAGCAAATTACAATACAATTCCTTCCAAGTGTCCGCCATCACTTGTACTATAGAACTTGTGAGGATATTTTCCCGGGTTGTTTACCCAAGAAAATCCAAACTACTTTTTTGCCGTCTCTATCGCTCAATAGTCGGGCGCCAGCCGAACCTTTACGGGAGGTTCGACGAAAACCGGCCTCTGAGGCAAACTCGTCCACTCAGAGGACTTTTTGGGCTGGACAATGGGTTGCCTAGCTAACATCAGCGTCATACGGTAGAGTGGGCGAGATCCACCAGGAGTATTACCGTCACATTCCACGGCCTTTGCAAGCGGAGGATTATGCCTCGCGGCATAAGTTCCCTACTGAATGGGATTCATCTTTCCTCCGGAGGGTCTCTCGACTCCTCCGGCATGCTTCCTCTCTCCGAGTATTTCTACTCAGGAGAGTTTCCGAACTATTTGCGATTCAGCCGGGACTCCTCAGAGCCTGGGACGTGGAGAGGCTGATCTGACCAGGGTGGAACTACGTTACCCACGCTACGACCACCCACTCTCTCCACCACCAGTTACCGCTTTGGTCATCGCGCGTCACTGCCTCCGGGTAGTACTAGACCGTCGGCGTATGGTCGGACCGACAGGAGGATTTCTCGACTCCAGGCCCACGGGCCCATACGCCTCGAATCGTTCCGCCGAGACTAGATGACGCCGAACACGACGAAGTCGTCACCTCGCGTTCCGAAATAACTCAGATTTACGCGCGGGGGATGCAGGGGCATCCCCCTATATTCGCCGCCACAGTTATGCACCAGGCTACGCTGAGTAAACTCCTTACCATGGCCTCTTCAGCCATCCACCACTTCCAGCACACCGAGAGATTATTTCAACCTCTCGATTCAAGCGCTCGCGTGTGACTAACTCGGAATCTTACTAGGGCCTCGTCTCCTAGTCTAGATATCTCGGCGACGATAGGTCATTCCGTTACCCTATCCCCACCAATCAACCCGACGGGATCACGGAGGTACCAGTCCTTTCACCTGGCCGTTGGTCCCTAGCCTACTCCGACATAGCCTATAGAATCGCCCAGTTGGACGGCCTGTACGTCGGCCCCATTTCCCCTAGCACATGCTGGGCGAATTCTAATACGGCGATAGTCTAAGTAACGCCCTCCAGACCTCCAGGGGTCGCGGTTTCACCCATAACCGCTATGCCTTAGGTCTTTCATTGGTTTGTGGTTTATCTCACCTAGTCCCGGCTTTCTTCAGCCGCTTCTAGGTGTCACTACTTATCTCTCTTCAACAATTTTGAGAGTTCACTTATCTTTTTAAGGGGATTTCAACCCGTAACGAGAAAATCTCGTTACAAATTCTATCCTGCGGTCGAAACTGCTAGAGATGCGCTGTGTTGTGTTTTTATCAATAGCTCGGATAGCATCCCTAATTGCGTCTTGCAACTCTCCCACCTTCGTCGGATGCTTCTCATAGCACTTGTCCTTGAAAAAACCCCATAGGCAAAAATCGCAGGGATTTAAGTCCGGACTGTAAGGCGGCCATTCCATGCCCCCATGGGCATACTTAGGGTAACCTAAGCCTAACACACGAGTGTCGTAAATGGAAAAAACAATTTCAAATACTCCAGCAGTCCTGTGTGGGGTGGCAGTATCTTGCATGAAGTAGAAATTCTTGACTAACTGATTTTTTCGCGCTTAAGGAAAGAAGTTCTTCTTCAAGAACTCACAGTAAATATCACCACTGATTGTCGGACTCTCAATAAATTCAAGGAAAATACCTTTTATTGTAATTGGCGCTCATGCAGTGACTTTTTTCGGGTGTGAGGACTTGGTTTCAATAACGTGAGGTGACTCAGTCCCCCAAAAGCGAAAATTTTGTTAATTTACTAAGCAACCTAAGTAGAAATGTGCTTCGTCCGAAAAGATGATATTCTGTGCCTTCATTTCCTTGGATTCAAAAAAATTGTGAAGATCGTGGGAAAATTGCACACGGCGAGCCATCGCCTCCTCAGTTAAAAATTGATGTACAGACATTTTGTAGGGATGGAAGTTTAAAAACACTTTCAAGATGCGGTGAAGTGAAGTTTTTGAGACTTTCCAGCTTTGAGAAGCCTTTCGAAGAGTATCATTTGGATATTTTTTTAAATGTTCTTCAGTTGTGCGGACAACGTCATCCGTGGTTACAGTACGTGCAGGGCCAGGATGCTCATGCCTTCTATCGTCTAGTGTACCGTACTGATCAAATTTCTTAATTATCCTGAAAATACCCATAATTGGTCGAAAAATGCGTCAATTTTCATCAAAAGAAGAAAATATTTTTTGGTTAGTTAGGTCATTCACTTTATTTACCGTTTGAAACTCGAATCAGACACTCTACTGTGTGTGCCATACTTAGGATGAAATGCTCCTATAGCTGTAGTAGCTTGTAATGATTTTTCTTTGGCCTCAACAAATACTCAATAAACCCTAACCCAGAAGTCTCGATTATCCAAACACGGCCAACTCATTACCTTCGTTCTCGTAATCCGACAAGTCTGAAACGCCAAAAACCATAACGCTAACACTGGACTTCGGGGACAATCAGCAGCTCATCCAATCCTTATTTCGTGTATTTAGGGCGCCAGCCGATTTTTAGCAACGCGGAATCGACAAACCGCAAACGGAACCGTATTTTCTTAAAACTAAATACTGATCGTCCCCAAAAATCCAATAACGACAAGAAACATATCGCAAACCATACGCAGAAATGTGGATTACGAGGGTACGGGATTTACTCGGCTGCTCAGTGTGCGGGTCGTGGAGAGAGGGGTGGATTCGTGGACGAGAACATCAATTAACAAAACCAATCATCGATCGAGAAACCAATAAACCAATGTCTTAAATTCCAAACGGGATAGGTAAGGTCGACATTGAATAATAAACACAATTGTACTGACGTGTTTCGCTATTGCCGATATTAATACAAAATTGTAAATTCGTACAAACACAAAATTACGTGAATGTGACTCAAAATAATTTTAAATACTCTGAAATGATCCATTAAACTCCAAAAGGACTCGAAAGATGCGAATAATAATTTTAAGTATGAAAAAGAAAGCGATCCCAATCCAAAGCTGATAGAGAGAAGCAAAGGTATTGTCCACGAGGGGAACACGAATCCGAGAGAGAGAGACTATAGGAAGGTAGCGTACGTGCGAGAGAGAGAACGGATGAGGTAACTACGCGAAAAAAAAAAAAAGGAGAGCTCACGAAAAGGTACTAATTTTTCTTATTTTCGACTGTAATTAATCGAATTACGAATTATGGAGCGCCTTTGTAATGGTTTACTTAATTCTTATGCCATTTGTAACCCATT